TGTGATAAACAATTTCTGAACAATTCAATCACTAGTATGCCAGTCTACCCAGACATGCCACAGATAACTTGAATTGAGCTTATATATAGGACAGTCTAGTTTTAGGAACTTTGAAAGGTCAAAGTAGAGACTTAAGTGAATAGCCTGACATGAAACTGAATCAATTTCTTTAATAGCTTTATTCAATTATTTACCCATTGATACACGGAATTTTGATTCACTTGTCAAATTCATTCATTACATAGTTTCTATTAAATACACTACCAACAGTGAGTCCGAATGGACTGCTGATTATTAGTTTTTTGTTTTAGCTAACAAATGTTTTCTTTCTATGTAAGAAAAGTACTTCGAGTCACATCAGTTAGTAAAAATCTGGGACTATACTGGCATTGAAACAGCTGAACAAGAAAACACTTTCATAAGTATTTTGTTGCCACAGATTATACCAGTCTCCCTATTTCCCATATTGCTGTCCTTGATCTCAAGACTACTGTATTTAAGACATTATTTTTGCAATGGACACGCCAAAGTGCTTGCCTTTAACCCGTACATTTACAGCTAAATATGTTAATGGAATTATCCAGGATAATGGGCCACACTAAGGTTTGTCAGTGATACCTTACCTATGAATAACTATTCTCCCCATGCTTAGATTTGCATAACAACTACTGATAGCCTACTAAAATGAAACCTCAATTTAAGAGTTAAGGACTATTTGACTAATATAGTTCTAAACACTGGCGCACAAAAAAGACTCAATTATAATCTGCCCCTTTCCTCAAAGCCTGCTATGACATATGATCTATGAGACTGATTCAAATTGGTCCCCCATCCAGAAATATAATGTACATCCATACACAAAAAAGACATTGGATTGGCTGGTTAACAATGTCTGGATTCAAGACGAGAGCTCATGTTAAAGGAAGTTAGTCATCCGAAATGAGTCATTTAAAAAAACTCCACACTACAAGACAGAAAATGATGGAGCAAACTATCAGACAATTGGAGTCTTTAAATATAACTTTTTATTTTGTCATTTCAACTTGTCAGTTTTGGCTGGAAATTGAACTTCTCTGTGGAAATCTAACTGAATATCAAATGGTCTTTTCCTCCCAGAATTAAATGATTATGCTCAAATTCTAAATTTTACATCAGAGTAAACATTGTAGCAATATAACAATGTACAAAATGCAGAAGCAAATTAAGAAGTATTTTTATATCCATGCTTCATCCCAAATTTATACAAAAAGGCGCACGTTCAGAGGTGCTAGAACAATTTGTATAGTGGGGATGCTGAGAGTCATTGAACCAAACTGTAAATCCTGTGTATGATGGAAACCACTTCAAGTCAGGGGGTGCGGAAGCGCCTCAAGCACCCCTACTTCCAGCACCTATTCACAAACTAGAGCAGAATTACAGTGACAAAATTAGATAATTCAAAAACATTCTATATCAATTGCTTCAGGATACCACTCATGCATCCTATATGATTTTTGTAGTCTTACACCTTCCATAAAAAAGTTCACAATTGTGATTAATACACAGTACAAGTGGTTTGGCGTTCACTGTATCGTATTTGAAGAGTTTTGCATTAGAAAAAAATCCAGCTGCATTAGAAAGGAAGCAAAGTCTCCCAGAGGCGTAAGTACTTTGGCAAAGTATGTCCTGTTAAGATGTATAACCAGATAAGCCTCAAAACCAGACATGATTTTTAGGCTACTATTAACCAGTGACCTGATCTTGGAGGGTCTCTGATTTTGGGTAAAATAAAATAAGTTATTGAAGCTGTAACAGCAAGTAGAACCACCGAAATATATGTAACTAAAGTAGGTTTGGCTATAGGTCCTAAACATTAAAGGCTTAGAGTGTGGCCTAAAAGTTAATATGTATCTTGTGATAGTTTAGCAATGCATCTTATAATGAATAGGTAAACTGCAAATGGACAGTAGCATCTAGGCGCTTTTTGCAATAACAGATGAAATGATTGTGTTAATACATTAATGAGGTTAACCATTGGAACTGTAATTATGGAGAACCGGAATACCACATATGGACTACCAGAACCCTGAAATCGATTGCCTGGTATAAGCAGAATAAGTGGGCTCGGATGTTATCAGATATGGTCCTGGATGCATGTGGATGGAATAGAAAAAGGCATATAAAAGATTGTCAAATCCATCCCTAATTGGGACACAAGAGAAGACCGAATAGTGGAAGCCTGAATATGAACAAGCCCTCCTGTGGTGATCTCCACCCACATTTTTTGTCCATCTTTGCTGTCACCAGACTCCATAAGGTTGTAAATATGTCAATGTGGGGCGGGGGGGTTAATCTTGTACCAGCCTAAGACTAAGTATGTACGATCCAGGGGACGTTTTGTTATATGTATGTGTTCTTGTATAATTATTCTTATACTTGGATTTATTTGCATTTTAAGTAAAGTCTTCACATTTCTACGTGTGTACTCTACTAAGGTCAACCCAACAAAATTTCTTGCATAGCTTCCTGAGTAAAGAACCTGTTATTAGTGATTTGTGCAATTTGCACCCTAAACTTAATGGAGGCTACATAAGCAATTTTCTGTAGTGACCCAAGAGTTAGAAGCAAAAAGGCTATAGTATTACAGGGGAAAAGAAAAAAAATAAATAAAAAGAGGAGTCCTGTATTTCTATTCAGAAGGTATGTTGCGATTTCCCGACATAGATGGGGGAAAGTGTTGGTTAGAAAGCACAACATGCAAGGGGGGCAAAACAAGTTGTTACCAAGTGTTCAGAAAAAATACTACATGTGATAACTGATAGCTGGAGTGAATAGCTCAGGGATGCAATAATGGGATGTAGAGACTTTCACCTTCAGATCATTAGTCAGCAAGTGCTTGATAAATTTAAGAATGGGATTATACAACATGGTTGTCTGCAATAGCAGGCAACTGAACGCAATGACCTGTGAAGTCCTTTTTAGTTTTTATGTCTCCAACTGCCAGATTTTCAAAAGGCAAGAGAGGTATTTGTTTTAGAAAAGCCTACTATTGAGTTAATATGAAGACTGCCATCCTCTTCTAGAGTGGTCAGACTTGAAGCACACTGAAAGAGAGTCAGATTAAAGTTTTTCATGGTTCCTGCCACAACTGTGCTTGCTGTCTGATTTAGAAGATTCAATTAAGATGAACTATCATGAAAAGGAGACTAAGAGCCTTTATCGATATAAGCCTTCTAATAGGAAGCAAACGTCACTCCTTGTAGCATCTCAACAAATCTGTTAAAAACAGCGGTGGCTATTGTTAGGATATAGATATTCAGGCCTGTCTGAAAAGGCCTATACTTTAAGAATTTAGGTGTATTCTTATCACTTAGCTAATTATAGAGGTATAAAACAAGAATCAAAATCATAGTCTGCCTGTTTATAGGCCTTATCTCACTGTGATAGTCTAAGGCCTTGTTCTTCGGCTAAGGCCTTCGACTAAACAGTAGGGGCAGCCATAAACTGGGAAGAGAATGGTCACAACCCTCACTAGTCACACTGAAATAAGGCAGTATTGGGCTGTTAAAAAGGTGATCCCTTTATCTAGAGGTGATACATCGGAAGAGCCTAGAAGATGTAAAAGGAAATTTAGTTTGATAGTTTTCTGTTTGGTAAGAACTCACTTATGAATAGACACAGCTGGGAAACCCTTATATCTTTATAGATGTAGTTGTAAAATCCTCACTTCTGCAGGGCCGCCCAGAGGATTCAGGGAGCCTGGGGCAAAGCAATTTTGGGGGCCCCTTCCATAAAAAAAAGTTGCAATACTATCGAATACTATGTTCCTGTGGGGGCCCCTGTGGGGCCTGGGGCAATTTGCTCCACTTGCCCCCCCCTCCCCCGGGTGGCCTTGCACTTCTGTATTGTTTTGTCATTATAGTTTCCACTTGG